ATTAAATTTTTTAATTTTTTAATTTTAAAAAACTGAAAATTTTACTTTCAAATTTTAGTGAATATCAAAGTGACTACATTTAATTCCATTCATCATCAATCATATTATTTTTTCTTACTTCATCTTGATTATTACTTTCATTTATATCATTTCCTTAATGCTCTTTTTTTTATAAATTTTTTTACCTTTTTTAATTTATTTTTTACAAGAAATTAGTTATTATAACATGGTAAGAATCACATATATATTTTTTATGAAATTTAACTTTTTTAATTTATATCACTTCTTGGGCTAAAGAATAAAGATTCATATATATGCGTAATTTATATCACTTCTTCCGCTAAAGATTCATATATATGCGTAATAATAAAATTAAAATTAGAAAAAGATGACAACCTTCTTATTTCAGATATTTGTTTATTTTAATCAATTTTTTTTTGACATTTTCTCTTATATTTTCCTTACTAATTGTTAAAAATTATGTCGAAGTTTATTTATTATTTTTCTATTTTTTTAATGCTTTTCCAATTTTTGAAAAGACTAAAAATTCTACCTCAAAACCTTATTGAATTACCCATATTTAAATCATTTCATCATTGATGCTATTAATTTTTTTAATTTCTTTCCTTAAATTCATCAATAATGTTATGTGTATCATTTCCTTAAATTATTTCTTTTCCTTTCTTTTTTCTTTTTACTTTTTTATTTCTTTAATTATTTCAAAAATTAATTGTCATAAACTGCATAAAAATGTATTTTTTTAATAAATAAATAGAATTTGATTTGTCATTTTATTTTGAATTCTTAGATTATTTCTTCTACTAAAGATCGATATCTATATGTTATAAGTCTATCAATGTTGTTCTTAAATGTCTATTGAAATATAAAATAAAACTAAAAGTATAATAATGTTATGAATGACCCAGTATCGACTAAGAACAACATTGATACTAGATCATTCATAGATTATTTCTTATTATTTGATCTGAGCAAATTATTATCAATGCTGCTTTTAGTCGATACTGGGTCATTCATAATATTATTATACTTTTAGTTTTATTTTTATTTTTCAATAAAAGTTGATGACCTACAAAATTCAAGCTTTATTCATATTGTATTATAGATTTAAAAGTAATCACTTTTAGATTGTTAAATTATTTCTGATTCATTAATTTTCTATTTTGCTAACATAATATATTAAAATATTAATTTCGTTCTTATTATAAACTATTATAACTTATGAATCTAAGGGTTTCGGCAAAAAAAATTAATCATATGAACTTGAAGTATTGCAACTTATATTTCATGAATAGGTAATTTATAAAAAGTTTATTTTAAATTATTGTTATATCGCGCGGACAAGTTTCCTAGTGTCTAATAAGTTACAAAAAACCTTCATCTATTTATCTTCTCTACTTAAATAATATGCCTCTTCAACTTTTTTCTAACTATTGTTATGGTTTACCCAATCTATAAATAACTTTAGAGATGTTCAATGTCCATTTCCATTTTTTCATTCTTTCTTTTTCTTTCATCTTTCATGTACTTAATAATGTCATGACATGGTCTTCACTTTGATAAAAATCATAAATAAATAAATATATATATATATATATATATATAAAAGATTCATCAAAAAAGATGGTCATATTAGTATAAAAGTTTGAATGGTTTTCAAATATTTTGAAGATTCACTAATGTATTATTTTGATTTCAATTAATATATTCTATTCTTTTTTATTTTATTTTGATTAGATATCTACTAACATTGTTATTATGCGAAAGAATGAAGATGAAAAGTATCACGTTTTTGTTTTTGTTTTTGTGTGTATCTGTTTGTCAATTTCTAATAAATATTCTAAATTTTTTTGTCATTATTGAAAGGTATAATATTACCTATGGTAAATTTCTCATAGCTATTAGATATTGTTACCCCTAAAATATATATTATATGGTCTATCATATTAGACATCAATCACAAAATAAATAAGTAAACCGTCTTTTTAGTATTTTTAAAACTTTTAATTAATAAATAAATTATTTAATGAAAAGAATGAAGAAAGAATTCTCATTTATGTGTACATATATAATAAAAAGTTATTTTATAGTTGTGCTATAATAAATGTGAATTTGTGACTAATATGTATTTAACTTGTAATTATTTAAAGTAAAAAATTATCTATCTTGATTTTTCACATTTAAAGGAGTTTGTTTTTTTTGAATAGTTATTATCATATATTATTATTTTTGGTGATGACTACAATAAGAATTAGATTAATGTTATAAAACTCTTCCACTCTACATGTGTTAGGGACAAACATTGATCCAACTCTTGGTATACCTTTCTACAACTTGACACTTCATGTACTCTTAAAATTTTAATATTTTATCACTCTGTGATCATTTTCATATAATCGAGTAGATAAGTACACATCAAATTCCTAATGATATCATGACTTCTTATAAATATACATTTTATTATATAGTATGTGTTTCAATTCTTTTATTTTCCATTGCAAAGTATAATCTCCGATGTAATGTTATATAATCAACTTAATTTTTATGTTTTTCTTCTTTTTATCGGCAATGTTAAGCAGAAATTAAAGTTTGAAAATATCTTTCTAGCAATTTTGTGAATAAACAACATCAAGACCGTGACTTGATTTGTATTACTTTTTATACACTTTTTACTGAAAAATAATTAATTAAAGACATCAATTATTTAAAAAATATATTCAATTCCGTGCGAATCGCGGATAAGTACACTAGTTGTATTATAAGTGTATTAAAATGTGTGATAAATGTATTATCCATCAATAAAACTTGTATTATATGTGAATAATAAATTATTCTATGTAATATGAATTAAAAGTGTATCATAAATATATGAAAATTGATCAAGTGAAAAAAAAATGTTATTGCTATAAATGGTAAATATTTTTTTTTTATAGTATATTTATGTAAGTTTCCCTTAATCATTTGTGTATTCAGTGTTTTTCAAATGTATACTCAAAAAATAGGTAATGTTGGTATGCGATTGATATCGACTGAAAAAATTAAGTCAAATCTTAGTATAAATTGGTATGCATTTTGTATCCAACTGACGTCCCAGTGGTAAAATTGAAAAAAAACATATAATTGAGATTTCAATTGAAATAGCCAACGTAAAACTAGTTAATATTGTATTCAATTTGTATAAATTTAGTATCGAATTGATATCCCATTGAAAAATTGAAAAATCAACATGTAGTTGAGATTTCAACCAAATTAGGCAACCTAAACAAGTTAATGTTGCATTCAATTGGTATCCAACATATATCCCACTTGAAAATAAAAATAATAAAAATGTAACTAGTATTTCAACCAAATTAGACAATCTAAAACAAGTTAATGTTGTATCCAATTTATATACACTTGATATCCAACTTGAAATTTTGGAACAAAGACAAAAAAATAAAAATGTATGAAATTAGTATCTAACGGGTATAAATTTGGGAAGAATAAATCTGACTGTAAAACAATGCATATTATATATTGTTGTCAGAAATTGTAGCAAAAGAAATATACATCACCCAAAAATCAAAACATGTAATTAAAAGTCTAAACTGCAATAATTAATACAAGTTCTATAATTTGCTCTCTTCAATTTATATTCCGTATTTAAGTGTGATTTTTTGTTATCATAATTAGGCTAAAACTTAGGAACTCCTTATTAAAGATTTTATGATCTCATATTATCTATATATTTATCAACAAATTTCAAAATTAAATATACTTATTTCACCCACAAAATAGTATTTTAGATATAGAAAAACACACCAAAAACGAGTTCAAAATTTTAGTAAAATGATTTTTTTTTCTCAAAAAATCAAGTCTCAGATTAATTAAAATAAAAAACGAAATCAAATTTTCAATATATAGAATTCTTAATTCTAAAAAAATCAGATTAAAAAAAATAAAAAATAATATTCAAAATTTAAAATAAAAACAACATCAAGAAAAGCAAAAAAGATAGATTAAAGAGAGTGAAAATTACATGTTACAATATACGGTGATAAATAATTTATTTTTTTTAAAATAAAGGCCCCAATAGTCATTAAGAAATAAAAAATATTTGAATAGTAATCAGTAATTATCTTGGGAATAATAAAATAATCAAATAAGAATCAACTAATTAGGAGAATATCAAGGGAAAGATTTATCTTGTCAATTATAAATTACTATATTTATGGAAAAGATATTTTGAGAGTAATGTGAGGGTGGGGTGTGGGTTAACATGTGATAAGTTAAAAAATTTCTTAAAAGGTGTAATAGATAATTACAAATTGATTCTTTCTCATTAATATTATTTCTCTCACCTATTAATTATATACCATTATATAATGTATATTAGTTAATAATATATGATTAATTAATTTATAAATTTAAACTAATATGTTAATACTTGTAATTAAAATGTTATAAGTAGTAATATAAAAAAAGTAGATCTAAAAATTGTAATATTAACCGTTAAAAAGATGTGTGGTGTGATTTTTCCTATATTTTATTGGTTTGCAGGAAGGATTTTGGTATCACCATGCAGAGGCAAAATACTTGATGCTGGTGTATTGGATTACTCAAACTCCTCATACTATTCCTGCAAATGGTTCTCACAGAGTTAGTATTGGGGCTGTTATTAATGATAATGGAGAGGTATGCATTTCGACATATTTAAGATCACAAAATTATATATGTACATGTCAAATTAAATATCATTATAAACCCAGTCAAACATCGTTACATAAATTGACATATGGAATATAATGCTACTTTCAAACCATATTATGTTAACCTCTTTATGTACATGACATATGTTGATAATATTTGTACAGGTATTAGTAATCCAAGAAAAAAATGGGACATTCAAGGGCACAGGGGTGTGGAAACTGTCTACTGGGGTTGTTGATGAGGTAATTATGAATTATCATCACCACCATTTTTGAACCTTTAACTCTCTATCTATCTTTGTCATAATTTATATGACTTACTTTCCTATTATTAGGAGTAATATTATATATGTATTTGATCATGCATAAGTAATACCATGTTTGGTACGTACATGGTTAGGACTATATATAAAACTATTATAATATTTGATTTGCAATTTAAAAATCCGAATAACTAATACATATATATAAGTTATGAGGGAATCTATCTACAATTTTATGCAAAATATAAGATGAAATGACTAATACGTGAATAACTAATTCATGCATAAAGTAATATACAAATTTCCTCATCGCTAATTCATATTAGTATACATGCATAAGTACTCTAACCAGCTACCAAACGACCCCTTAATGAAATGATTTATAGTCATACAAATATTTATAACTTATTTTAGACCATAAATTTAAAAAATCTTTCTTTCCTTTTCAAACTCTATGTCAAGTCCAAACAATATCACATAAATTGAAATGGAGGACGGTAGTATTTACATTGCAACATAAATAGAAAGATATTTAGAGTCTATATAATAGAAACTATAAGAATGCCGACCCGGTAAATCATCTAACTTTGTATAGCTGAAAGTTGCCAAATCGGTTGAAAGAATTGAAAGGAATGCTGGAAAATGAGCTTCAAAGCTTGAACTTCCACTTTCAATAGTCAGAAGAAGCGCGGATGGCACCAGTCCTGATTGATTGTTTTGAAGTGAAGGGTTTTTTCTGCATTCTACAGACACGCCAAATTCAGACTTTCAAATGACATCAACATAAAGCACAACAACTTCTACGTACATCCTAGATTACATTCAGCATATGCAATATGAATGATCTCTTCCATTAGTAAAAGACGACTTTTGGTTTATATTCCTTCTCTGCCCATGAGTGTTATATTCTGCCCTCGACATACGTATTAAGATAGTAGTCCTCAAAGCTTTTCTCTTATGCAGAAGTAAGCTCGACTTAGACTTCATCTAATTCGTTACTTGTTATGTCCTGATAAAAAGACTGGTTGAAGATAATATCCTTCAAAATATTGAGTAGATTCTTTAGAGGCTTTCCTCAAAAGAGCAAAAGAATTTCTTACCAAAAATTGTAAATGAATAATAACACAAAGCGCGCGTAAGGTGAAAAATCAATGATATTTAATAGTTAGTTCCCACAAGAGAGCACTATGAATTTGCACCTTCAAGTTTTCTAAGAATTCATTTCCTTACTCTGCTACAAGAAGTGATAGGCAGGCTAGTAATTGAAAAATTAGGAACAATATAATTTCTTTGGAATATACAATTAATTGATGGGAAACCAAAAATATAATCTGCACTTGTATTAAAGAACATATTACCCCTCTCTCATCTAGTTGCAACTCTATTGATTAGGCATTGAATCTGCAATCTTCAGGCCATGAGCTTGCCCACACTCTCAATAGTTTAGGTATGAAACTCAAAAAAATGGTACAGTTTAGATGTGTTTTTGAAACTTATAGTGATAACAAACTTTCATTAGTTTAATATTTTTAGTAGGGACATTTCGTAGGTAAAATTAAGTATGATTGGATTTTAATTAGTTTGATTATTAAATAAACTATAATTTATGTTTTGATTAATGCCAAAAAAGATTTCTTAGATTATTGAATAATTTTATTCTTTTGTAATATTTGCAGTGGATGGCTATTGAGGAATATGCAGCACAACCTTATATAAAGAAGCATGAAATTTTCAATAAAATAGCAGAGATTTGCTTAGCAAAAAAAGAGAACAAATACAATGGCTTCTCCAAAGTGCTTATGACTTCTGCATTTTCTACTAAGAGGACTTATTTGTACTACAACCAAAACTAATAGAGACAGAGACATTATTTGAAGTTTATGAATTCTCAATTTGTCATCAAAGTCATAGCTCGTCTTAATTAGTATCTGGTTTTGTAATTAATAGGGAAAAAAATCTGAAATATATCTGAACTTTGACCAAAATTGTTGTTACGATACCAAACTTTGGAAAGGACCTTTTACCCCCTGCACTATTTAATAGTTATTTTAAAGGTATATATGTGCCCACGTGAACATAAAAAATATTGCATAATTATAAATAGTAATGTGTCCACGTGGGCACATATATACCTTTAAAATACACTATTAAATAGTTCATGGAGTAAAAGATCTTCCATAAAATTTGGTATCGTAACAACAATTTCGGCCAAAATTGGAGTATTTTTCAGACCCTTTCCCTAATTAATATATAGGGAAAATGCATAAGTATCCCCCCAGCCTATGCCCAAAATCCCTGAGACACACCTAACCTTTACTAAGGTCCTATTACCCCCCCCCCCCCCGAACTTATTTTTTTAATTAATTTTTTACCACTTTTCCGCTTACGTGGCAATATAAACCAAATAGGTTGAAAAGCTTTGTTCCACACGCGCCGGGCCCCACTTTTTCAACTTTCTAAAAAGTAGTTTTTACACTTTCCAAAATTTCAAAAAGCTATCATAATATTTATAATCTACTTTGTTAATATATTTTTAGTTAGTTTATAGTTTTCAATGTTTATATATTTTATTTTAAATTTGGGCTTGTAAAATTTTGTAAATATTATATATATAATTTTATTTTATTTATAGATAGTTACACTTTTCCAACTTTATCATAATTGTAGGATACTTATAAGACTAGAAGGTACTCTCTAATAGTGCATATAATTATTTTGTTTGTTCAAACATGTTTTTATTTGTATGCAACCTCAATTTTTATATCAATTATGTAGAAACTTTAATAGTGAATAATTTCGATCATTATTATTAATAGAACATAAGAAGAATTATTACTCAAAATCTTTACGTTAATAAAAATATAAATTGTTGTAACTATTATTTATAGATGATTAAAAAAATAAAATAAAAAAATAAAATTGTTGTAATCAACATTCAAGAGTCATCTTCACCATGTAAAGTTAAAACATGAATTTTATAATATTATAATAATACTACAAAGAACAATGAAATATAAAAAATAATTTTGAGTTGGGATTTCATGAAACAAAAAACTTGTGAATTTATATTGATAAAAATGGAGAGATATCATAAAGTATCTTAAATTTTATAATTTAATAGTTGGAGGTTATAAATATGAAAACGTAAAAGTCATGAAAATAATGATATTATTAAGAATAGAAGTTTAATAGATTAAAGTTATGGATAACCGACTAAAACCGAAACCAAAAAAATTGACTTTGTGTGGTTTGATTTGATATTTAGATTTAATAAACCGACATAATTGGTTTAGGTTTTTTTTAATGAAAAACCAAATCAAACCGACCTATGTACATCCCTACTTCTAAGTCATCAAGAATCGTGGTTGAGTTCAAAGGTTAGTTTTTTCTTAATTTTTATTTTGTTAGCTTTTCGAAGAAAGGAGCAATTTAACTTATGATAATGGAGGTTTTTTTTCCAAACATGAAGAACAATAATAAAGAAGAAGACAATTGAGTTAATATTTATTTTTTCCAAGTTTATTTTAACACATGACCAATTTTTATTGGTCAGTGCTGTCTAAAAGCTGCACCCACGCGCCTAACATAGGTGAAATCACGGACTCAGCCACGTAGGCCGAAAAGTGGTAAACAATTAACTAAAAAATAAGTTCAGGGGGGTAATAGGACCTTAGTAAAGGTTAGGTGTGTCTCAGGGATTTTTGGGCATAGGCTGAGGGGGTACTTATGCATTTTCCCTAATATATATGTTTACTTATTTTTTGAATTCTATATAATAAAAGTTACTGAATTCGTCTAAATTTGCGACATATGAGCTTCACGCTAATACTCCCTCCATTTCAAATTAATTGAATTGTTGAGATATTTTTCATTTTTCAAATTAACTTAATTGTTCAGTTTTCAAGACTACTTTTAGAGTGTTTTTTCCATTTTACCCTTTCATTAGTTAGTATTGGAATTAGTGATTAATTAATATTTAGTTAATTTAATCATAAATTTGACAATAATAATAAGGGTAAAAATGGAAAGTTATGCCTAATTTATGTCTTAATCTTCTTTTTTTAAAGAGTGTGAAAGTACATCTTAACAATTTAATTAATTTGAAATGGAGGGAGCAAGAGTTTTCTTAATCTTTTGTATAAGAGACTCTTTGTATAATTGATCAAATATTCTTTGTTCAAGAGAATCAGATTGAAATATTATAGTCAAATTAAGTTCACTTACAAGATTAAATAATGTGAGTATGTGACCACCAAGTTTAATTTCCATTTCTTTGTCTTGCTTGATTTTCTATTTGTTATTCTTTTTACAAACTAGTCTCTTGACACGCGCTTTATGCATATATTCCATATTATTAAGTATATAAGTTTAAAAGTTTATATGAATATTTTTAAGTTCTATATTTGAGTTATGAAAATAATTAGTGTTGATTCTATTCAGATAGTTCAATGAAGAAAAAGTTTTTTGTCCCATGAAAAGCCTCAAATACCTTTTTGTAATTTTGGTTTTTGCCTCAATGCCTTATTTGAATTTCTACCTTTGGCTGTAATTACTAAAATAATGTCATTGTCTTCATAATTTCTTTTGGTACAAATTAAAAAATAGTTTGCATACTTAAGTTGTAAATAAATTTTAACAAAACCGAACAACCTTTATTTACTAAAGTTAATTGTTATTTGGCAATGAAGACTAATAACAAAAAAAAAATTATGACTCATAGCGACTCACAAGAAAATCATTTTAATTTTACAAATAATTACAATATAATTTTACTTACAAATTTGATAAAAAAAAATGTCAGAAATTGTTAAGAGAGAAAAATTTTAATTCATAGTTTAAATAAACTCAAATATATGTGACCATGATTGAAATATTATCAATATACATGGTGACGATTATTAACTGGATAATAATCTTATTTTGCATTGACATATATATTAATTATCGTAAGAAATAGATGAAATAATTATACAAAGTAACAGAGAAAAATGAACATACGTCATATATCAACTACGTGACTCTATTGTTGATTCAAAAGGTGAGGTTATAAATATTTCTATTTTTATAAGTCCATTAAATTATATTTGTTTCGTACAAATTTAAAAAGTTATTTGCACATATCAGCTAGAGATCAGAAAATGGTCTAAAACCCCTCTAATTTATACCCGAAATCTCAACTACACACTCCAACTTCACGAGTGTCCTATCACCCCCTGAACTATTTAAAAATGTAATAACTAGGCCCTTAAATGCTGAGTTGGCACAGAGAGTGCATTCACTCTCTTTGAGAGAGTGAACTGACTATTTTTTTCTTTTTCATTTTCTTTTTCATCGTTTTTCTCTTCTTTTTTTTTTTATTGTTTTCTCTCTCTTTCTTACTGTCTAACTATTTTCTGATCTAAATTCTGCCATGATCAAAGTTTGAAGATTTCCTGCAACTCTTTTTGGAGTTCATCTCCTAATTAATTCTTAATCTTCATAAACAAACTAAACTTTGTATTCAAATCATTGATAAGACAACAAATATTTTTGGGTTAAATTTTGTTGATCAATTTTTTGGTGGGTTTTGAGAAGTCAAACATAAATTTTTTATAGATGAAACTTTGAGTTGCATGAAGGAAGTGAAAGAGTTAATGGTGAATACATGGAATGTAGTAATCAATTTCTCAATTGATAATGGTAATGTAGATCAGTTTTCCACTACAGTAAAATGACTGAAATGAAGGAAAACTCTTCATATAAATTTAAACTCCTCAAAAATTATTTGGCTTCCAGATCTCTATTCAAAATTCATCATCTGTTTTTGGAAAAAAAGTTCCTAGACTAAGAGATAATGTGGAGGTTAACCTAAAACGATTAGATCGTAGTTTATTCCTGGTTAAATATTTAGGGATCGTAAAGGTGGAGGGGGAGGTGGAGGTGGTGATAGAGATTTTTTAGTGATGGCGTTGAAGAAAAGAATGGAGGCGGCGGCAAGTTTACATTTCTCTGCAACTACACTAGGTAATTAAATCTTCAACAAAAAAAATAATTCTCCCAAAGCCTTCTATCACCCAAGTCAGATTCAAATCCCTCAATATTTTTAAAATAAAAACTTTCACAAAGAATTAGGGTTGTAAATGGGGAAGAAAGTATAAAGAAGAAGGAGAAAAAATAATTTAAAAAAATTAATTGGTGAAAAACACGTGCCAGGTGCGTGTGTTTCACCACAAGTCTCATGAGTGGTTATTGCGTTTTAAGGGGTTATTTATTACATTTTTAAATAGTTCAGGGGGGTGATAGGACACCCGTGAAGTTGGAGTGTGTAGTTGAGATTTCGGGTATAGATTGAAGGGGTTTTAGACCATTTTCTCTATCAGCTATAAACAAACTTAAACAAGTTTACTAAAGTTAATTGTTACTTGACAATTAAGATCAGTAACAAAAAAAAATTATAACTCATAACGAATGACAAAAAAAATCATTTTAATTTTGCTAGAGTATAATTTACTTGGAAATTTTATAAAGGTAAATGCCAAAAAATGTTAGAGAGAAAAATCTTAATTTATAGTTATAACTAGTGTACTTGTCCGCGTTTCGCGCGGATATAAAAAGATATTAAATATATTTTATAATAATTAATAAATGATATAATATAAGAGAGAAATACAAAGTAAGTTACGATTCTTATATTATCTATTCAGAAAAATTGCTAAAAATCTCATGCTGATAAAAAAAACGAAAACGTAAAAATTTATATGAAAAGCTTTAGTTAAGTAAGAATCTAATTATCATAGTTTCATACTAAATTTAATGATTATTATAATAATATTATTGGTTCAAACAACAATACCTTATTTTTATTTTGGTAGAAAACCAACAATACTAAATCTACTCGATCATAAATTACATGAACTTTTTTTATAAATGACTCTATAATAAAAAATAAACAATTCAAAATATATTTGTGCTAAATCATGGTGAGAAAAAATACTTAAATTATATTCAAACATATTTATGCCCGAGATTCAAAAGTTAGAGAATTTTTCTCGATATTTGATGCTCGTACTGACATTCATTTACTACATATTTGTGTCGCATAAGATCTATTATTATTAAAAGAATATATTTAAATTTTCATTCTTATAGTATGCATTGCGAGAAGAGAGAATTAAGTTGCTATAGTGAAACACTGCCATTAAGGTTTTACTTTCACAATAAAAATGAAATAAAATTAATCACATAATTTAATCGTATAGAGATTATCAGATAGTGTAACGACCCTTTTGATCATTTAGAGTACTAAAGCTTTTTATTTCATAAAATACTTTCCGATAGATTTTAAATGGGTATTTTGGACTATTCGTAATTACAATTATAGAAGTAAGGGATAAGAGTCTGAAAAATACCTCAACTTTGGTCGGATTTGCTGTTGCGATACTAAACTTTCATGAGAACCTATTACCTCCCTAAACTATTTAATACCGTATTTTAAACATATATATTTGCCCACCTGGACATAAGAAATAATGCAAAAATTATAAATAGTAATGTGTCCACGTGGGCACATATATACCTTTAAAATACACTATTAAATAGTTCAGGAGGTGTAAATTATGGTATTAAATAGTCTAGGGAGGTAATAGGTACTTATGAAAGTTTAGTATCGCAACAGCAAATCCAACTAAAGTTAGAGTATTTTTCAGACCCTTATCCCTAGAAGTAATGGGATAGTTTTAATAATTTATTTAGTTGGTGGTTAAAGAAAATAACATTAAAATTAATAGTGCATCACTTTCACTACTTTTATAATTGGACATGTATAATAATTAGGGCAAATCAAGTTATTGAATCATTGTTCATACATACTCCCTCCGTCCACAATTGTTTGTCAGGGTAAGGTCATGCACACCCCTCAAGGAAAATTTAATAGAAGGTGTAATTTGACTAATATAACCCTATTATACCAAGAATATCAAAAGTCCACATTACTTTTCAATTGAACTACACTATCATTAAGGGCAGAATTGGAAAAAGGTGATTAATTGTTTCTTGATTGTTTAAATTGACAATTAATCTTGGACATCTATTTTTAGTATACCTGCCAAATAATTGTGGACGGAGGGAGTATTAATTATTAATTAATGCGTACAAGTTTAATAGTGATTATAAACAAAAATTGGGGAAGGAATTGAAAGGTCAGAACTAATTACTGTTAGCGTTGAGGTTTGAGGTGGGGGACAAAGCTTTTGGTTAATAATTACGTGATAATCACTTATTGACTTCCTAATGATTACTAAAGAATCAATAGTGCAATTGATAGTGCAACATGCATTTAATGAAGTGATGAGGATACTAAATTGGTGAATTGAAGTGTTGATTGCCACAAGTTTCGCACCAGTGGCTTTAGCTGTAGTCCGTAGAGATTATAATTTTTATAATCATTTTATAAATCAAGCTTTGATATATTGAGATAGATAATTAAATATTAAGTATATATATTATTTAAATACCATTAATGTTATGCTAATTGGAGGAACTAAGACATACCCTTAGGTTTGAACTTTAGGAAAATGATTATAAAATTAGTTGAGTTTTGTGTCTAGGCTAGACATAGAATAATATGAGTGTTTACTTACCATTTATTTTCCCTTCTTTTTTTTTTGAATATTTAAATAAAATGGCCTCATATAAACAAAAACTAAATTACAAGACGATAAACTTAAATTCTCTTTATTTTCAAAACATACAATATTTTTCTCAAGGATCCAGTCTAAACATGCACAAGAGCTTCTATACAGAGTAACTAGCAAGAAAATAAAAGACACAACCTCCGCCTGAGGAAAGGGTATATAGAAGCTGATGATAAATAATTGTCATCCCAACCAATACATAATCAACCTGAAACACACATACACACAAAAAAAGCATAACAAAAATAGTATCAGTACTATCTATACAACTAGTGCAAATGAATATCACAAGTACATATGACAATCACAAGTTATTATATAAGACATTTTTCAACAATTCATAGTTTACTCATACAAGCATTGTCATCCCAACAATTATCAGTCACATGCTATGTCCGAGGACCAATCAACATGCTTTATAAACACACAACACATACAAGAGATAAATCAAATTCTAACTTCAAATAATATTCAGTCATCACCGGTAAGACACATACATTATCACGTTCGACAACATTAATTAGTTTTAGAGGTAGCACCCAACAGAGGCGTATTCAGGATTTTGAGATGATAGGTGCATTGTTATAAAAATGTTGATCTATTAGATAAATTTGATAGGTTCGACATATATATAAAAATATATAACCACTTAGAGAAGTGTTATCTAATTTTAGAAAGAAAAATAAAGCAAGATAAATATAAAATTCAAATTTCTAACCTCGCGGAGAGAGCTGCACCCAGTCATAATCGTATTATGTGATACTTCAAGTGTGGGTTCACACATCTATATTAATTTCAATATATTTTTTAAAATATAACACTACTATATATGATCTCGGGAGGGGACCATGGGTTCACGTGAACCTGATGACCCCCTTAGATACGCCTCTGGCACCCAATGATGCCTTTTTAGTGAAATATTTCTTAATTGTATTTAGAGCTGTCAAAAAGGGTCGGTCCAACCCCACCTGGCCCAAACCTCATTGGCCAAGGAATTTGAAGGGCTAGTGCGGGTCCGCCCTTCATTTGGAAGGGCATGAAAATGCTTAACCCAACCCTAGAAGGACCGAGAGCTGGGGCGGGCTAGCCCTTCTTTTTTTTTCTTTTCAAACTGATAATTCTATAACATCAAGAAAATGAGAAGATTTTCAAATCAAATACGGCAAACAATGGTGTTGTTTTAATAACACTAGCAAAAAATCTAATGTAATTAGCATGTATCTCGCATACCAGATACGCGAGCGAGATAAGAGAGTGACAAGCAAGATGGGAGGGAGGCGAGGGCGCCAGATTTGTCTATGTATCCTAGATACATGTGAATCTACTGGGATAGAGTGTATCTAGAACAGATCAACCTAATTTTGAGTCCATATATTCCAAGATACATGTATATATCTGGACGTACCAAAATCTGGTAAGATTCATAATATTACAACATAGCGTGTATTTAAGTAATTAGATTATATACTAGTGAAATTATTGTAAGTAACCCTTAAATAAAAAGTTTTGGTCCATGGGCCGACCCCGGCCCAGCTCCGATCAAACCTCAAGGGCCAAGGGCTTATATGGACCAGGCTTATAAGCCCTAGTTTTAAATGGGTTTGAAAAATCATATCCCAACCCTACCCCAATAACGGGTTGGGTTGGGTCGATCTCATGGACTAAACCCGTTTTGACGGCTCTAATTGTATTGATAAATAATTTATCAATTCCTTAGCAATGCTTTCCTCTTTATCTAAGTCCCATTTTCTTTTTTTGTTTTACAACTTAAAAAAAATGTTTCTTCTCGTAAATTTATGATATCTTTAATCATCTAATTAAATAAGACTAATGTGAAGAAATCTTATGGTAAGTCAAGCTCTAATAGTTTGTTGAAAATAAGAAATTGAACAATAATTTTGAATAGTATAGGAAACTAAGACCTTATTTTATTTTACTGGACTACTAAATTTTCCTTTGCAGAAAATATCACCTAGGACGTAAATTGTCACAATAGTACGCAAAATGACGAAAAAGATATTGTAGCTATGGTATTAAGTTACTTAACTAACTAGAAGGAGGAAAAATACTACAAATTTCTCATGGTGAAGAGTTGAAAAAGGGCCTCATTTCACTCCAATTAAAGAGAATTATTATATCCACATTTTTTTAGAGTTCAAATAATTAAGTTCCATCAATTTCACCTCCTATGAAGTGGATCTCCCAAACACGTGTCATGTTTTTATGTGTAAGAGTAAAATTCAATTAATTATTTTCCAATAGAAAAAAGTTAGTGAGTAGTTTGTTTGTTTGTTTGTTTACTCTCAATGACCAAGAAGGTTTTTGTTAGATATAAGTAGGAAAAATAGGATCCTTGAAAATTTTTTCTTAGCCATTTCTCATTGAGAAAAAAGTTTTTATTATTGAGATTGAGTTTCAAGAATTTTTTTATTAAAAAATAAAAATAAAAAGGAAATGGCATTCACAGGGACATTGGATAAATGCAAAGCTTGTGATAAGACAGTTTACTTTGTTGATTTGTTATCTGCTGATGGAGCTACTTTTCATAAGTCATGCTTCAAATGTAGCCATTGCAAAGGCACTCTTGTGGTATATATATGTTTTTATTACTCAACTTCGTTTTAATCTGTTTATCTGATTCTGACTTTACGTACATAGAGTTATGTAAAGAAGATTTTTGAATCATGTGGTTGTCAACATGTGAAAGAGAAAGTAAGACAGATAAATTGAAACGGAGAGAGTAATAAGTTACAACTATGATTACCTTTTTCTTCTACTACTGTTTTTCTTTTGCTCTACTTTGATAAAAGATGATCTTATTTTTCCATCTCTAGCTTTCTTGTCCTTTAATTTGCTTTTGTTTTTACATGAGCTTTAATTTACTCCGATAAATAAACATAATTAAATAAATTAAAATGTGTTTTCGTGGTCATAAATATTTCCATATGTATGATAATACACAGATCATGTCCTCGGTTCAAATCTCACCGTCACTTATATCATTCTCAGGGACGGAGTTAGTAGCCTGCAAGCGGATTTGGCCGAACTTGTGTTAATAAATTTATTAAATATGTACAAATATTAAATCTAGAATCAAGTTATTATCACTTAAAATCATCATCATAAAATTCAAAACTCGTAGAGTTGAAATCCTAGCTTCGCATCTGTGCTCATTGTGATGTTTTTGTCATGTAGATGAGCAACTACTCCTCTATGGATGGAGTCCTCTATTGCAAGACACATTTCGAACAACTTTTTAAGGAATCTGGAAATTTTAGCAAAAACTTTCAGACTTCTTGTAAGACATCTTGCCTTTTCTCATATTTAGTTTATTATTACCAAAAAGTCCCACGTTGAGGGTAAAGCGTTATCTAAACTCAAATCTGAGATCTATGAATCTCTGATTAAGGATGAGGGAGTACTTACCATTCCACCACAACCTTACGTAATTTATTTAATTAATTATATTATACAATTGCTATTAGTTTTAACCTTATTTTTTTTATAATTTATGCAGCCAAGTCTGAGAAGGAAAGTTCTCTGGTACGTTATTGGACACACACACATCTCTCTGTTTTTTTTTTAATATTAATTTTATCAAATAATGAAAAATAATTGATCATATAGATATATATAATCAATGTTAAACTGTTTGGAACTAAGATATAAGATATACTTCCAGTAATTCGTTTTAATTTATGTCGCACCATTTGACTTGAAACAAAGTTAAAAAAAAATTGAAATGTTATAGTCTAAAACAAATCTTGATATTTGTTTGATCATAAATCATTTCATTAAAGATAAAAATAGAATTTAAAAGTTCAATTCTTTCTAATTATAGAAATGTGAATTATTCTTTTAATGAACTCAAAAAAAAAAATGTGTTACATAAATTGAGTCAAATAGTAGTATTATTTACTTCAATCCTCCAAATGGTTAAATGCCTTAATATTTTGTGTAGGCAAAGGCTCCAAGCAAAGTCTCTGCAATGTTCTCTGGAACCCAAGACAAATGTGCTGCTTGCAGCAAAACTGTTTACCCTCTTGAAAAGGTATGAATTTTTTTCGAAAAATGATTTTTATCATACTAAACAGAACTTATCTACATGCTAATCTTTTTTTTCTCATAATATAATGATGATTCAGGGGCGAAGTTAGGTAAGGTTATCCGTAGAAAATGAATTATACTATTTATTCATGATTTAACTTAAAATTTTTTTATGTATATACAGTTGATATATTGGACCCCTTTGACTTGTTCATGTGTTTACTTTTCATCTTGAACACTCTTAGTAAAAATCATGACTCCACCTCTATTATAATTGATATCATGTAGGTAACATTAATCATGTTAATTTTTGAAAAATGACTCTTATTATACCAAACTAAACTTTATCAACATGATTAATGTTTTTTTTTCTCATAATATAATGATGATTCAGGGGCGAAGCCAAGTAAGGTCAGTTGAACCCCTTCGACAGAAAATTAATTACATTGTTTATTTGTTGTAGTTGAATCCTCTTGACTTGTTCATGCGTTTACTTTTCATTATCTAAAAACTCTTAGTGAAAATCATGATTTCGTCACTGCAATGATTGATATATAGGTAATATTGGAGGGAGAAGCATTTCACAAATCATGCTTCAAGTGTGCTCATGGAGGTTGTGCCTTAACTCATGCAACATATGCTGCACTTGATGGAGTCCTTTATTGCAAGCACCATTTTGCTCAACTTTTCATGGAGAAAGGAAGTTACCAACATGTCCTCAAGGCTACTACTAACAAGAAGAGTGCTGTAACACCTGTTGATGATGATGATAATAATAATAATAATAATAATAACAACGACGACAAGCCTGCTAAGGATGATAACAAGGCAAATGATCATGACAAGGCAGATGAGAAGGAACCTAATGATGATAAGGAGCAATCTTGATCAACCCCTAATTATGCACTTAATTTTATTGATTAATTGTTTGTGTTTTCTGAAAATTTTGAAAAGGGTTTTTGCATTTAAAATCCAAGTATATTCATGTGATCAAAAGTCTTGTTATACTTTTGATTACAAAACTTCATTTTCCCCCCTTTTAGACTTGGTGTCTAGTTTGTAAACATGTTTGAGAGGTTAACTATTTTTTATTATACAATGATTTGTTAGATAATATTCCTATGTGTCATGATTTGTAAACATGTTTGAGAGGTTAACAAGTCAAGGCCAAAGACAAGGCAGGTTACATATAGTAAATGTTGAATCCCTTTACAACACGATACTTTCATAACAATATACACCTCAAAAAGATTGCTATAGATCAGATGTAGGTTTCTTCACATGTTATGTAATGCTCAAATAAAGAGATTGTCTCTCAAGTACATAGGTGGATCCTGATTGAAATTTCAAGAGTTTTAGACGATGCAGCAGTTATACTCGATAGTCGATACATACAAGATAGAGGAGGAGGGTGGAAAAGAGGTCGTAGAACTAACCAAATATCCGAATCTATAATAGTACACACATCAAGCAATTCTAATCCCTAAAATAGAGAGTAAAATTGAACTTTGGGAACTTCATTCAGATTTAACATATGAAGATCGGAAGGACTCTTTGGTTCGTCCATAATAGATGGCCTTCCCGCTGGTGTATGTTATGAAGTTCCAGCCAAATGCTGAACCTCCAACGACATATGTACCCGTCCCTTGGACTCCATCATCTTCAGCTTCCTGTTTCTCAGATGAATCGCCTTCAGGCTTCACAGAGGCCTCACTTTCGGGAGGAGGTTTCATATCTTTCTGTTGCTCACTAGGCTTTTCTTCATCCATGATATCCACTGAAGAAATCTGGGCTCCGGGTGCATCCTTAGCCACCTCTGGGTTTACTGTTTCTTCCATCACCTCCTTGTAAAGATCTATCAGGAGATTCAACTCTGCACATTTACATGTACATAATAAGGATCCATGTCTGATATAACATGCTGATTGTCATGTTGAAAATCTTGATAATAGTTCGACAACAAAAAATTAAAAGAGGAAACATGCATGGTTCCAATAACAACAGATTACCATGTCCGCGGGCAATTGGATTGCTATAGCTAAAAATAACTTAACTACGCGAGAAATCCTGACCATGCAAAGTAGTACACTGAGTATGTTATTGTGCCGATCATGCTAATGAAATTTAAACATTGTTCAAGTATGATACATCCACGTGCCAGCGAAAGTGGATCACACTAATACAAGTTCTTACATAGATTACCGGATCAGTTTATTTTGCAAACCTAAAAATCCAAGCATTTCCTATATGAATAGCTGAAAGCTGCTGCTACGTAAATTATTGTACAAGGCATAAGCTCCAGAGAAAGAAATGGCTTGTAAGGTAGATGTTTAACCACCTGCAACCAACTAGGTCATACTAAAACTATTTTTTTTCCAACCCGATTGTAACCTAGAAGAGAATGCCACAAACAGCCGTGCATTTCTTACCAACTTCAGAACTTTCACATGATGCATCATATTGGTATCAGCAAAACAGGGACACGAGAACGTGCTAGCATGTCAATAATCTCATGACTAGTGTGGCTTATGATTGCTAATAGCTTGGTGATGTATTTATTTCATGACAACTTTTGAAATGAAGAGATTGTAAAGAATAAATCTGATAGGAAACTTACGCTGACGAATTTCAGTAGCAGCCTTGCAATTGCGGAAGTCAGGAGTACGGAGAACCTTCAAGATGACAAATAAAAGTAAGACCCTATAACATCCAATTCTTATAAGAAAGTAGCATTCATGAAGGAAAAGAGAACACACAGATTTTGGCCACGGATTGCCCCATACAACATTCTTCCCAGTGTCATTTGGTGCTAATGGATAAGACCCCTCAGATGTTTGATTATCATTTACATTGCATGAGGTCTCGTATTTTTAAAATGAATCTTGACAACTTCAAAACATTAACAAAAATAATATATGAGAAAATAAATACAACAACAAACCCAGTATAATCCCACATGTGGGGTCTTGGGAGGGTAGTGTTAGTGTGTACGCAGACCTTACCCCTACCTTGAGAAGGATATGAGAAAATAAATACATAACAAATTAAACTTTGACATCATATTCATTTTTACACATAACAATCCCCTTATTCTGGTTAAATATAGCGCATCAAATTCGCAATTTGAAACCATTATCCTCGGTGCATTTGTCACACATGCATTGGCTATGAGGTAGAATTATGACTTTTAAACTCTCTTTTATTATTGGAGGTGTTCGGGAAAGACAAAAAGTGCTTTTAAGCACTTACTTTTAGACTAAAAAGTACAAAAATAAGCTAAAAGCCAAAAGTTGGATATGACCAACTTATGGCTTTTAGCTTATAAGCTACTTTTAAAAAGTCAATCCAAACACCCTCTTAGTCCTGGGTACAGATAGTTATTCTCTCTGCCAGTCATCAATGATAGAGTTATTTACTTAAGAGGGTCAGAGTTAAGTTTGACAAGATATCAAAAAGAAACCATTTTCAGAGAAATGGTTTTGACTGGATTTATAGACCAGAATATCTGGCCAGTCAACTGTTTCCACTAACAAAAAACCAACTAGCAAATCAAGTTCAGGTTTAAGCTTGGACCTGGCTGACAAAAAACCAACTGGATTTATAAGCAGCCTTCTTGGCTTCCACTTTTCCTTGGACTTCCCCATTGGGTTTAAGCTTTCTACTTAAATGCATATATATCCACTAAATCAGGAAGGCCGCCTAGACGACAACAAGGTTGACCCAATCACAGTGGTGAACCAACCATATACTCTCTAAGGTGTCTTTGCTTATGTTTTTACAATTATTCTAGAAAGTTATTATGATGTGGGCATGTCCCATGATTACTCTATAGATGTTACCATGATAGTGTTGTATGTATTAGTTCAGACTTAGTATCGTTTGGGGTTGTAGACGCTTATGCTTCACAAAGTTATTTTTAGACTTAAATTATTCCTCTGCTTTAAGTTCCTTCAGTTATTATTTTTCCTGCTTAAACTGATTAGATAATTTTATTTTATTTTTAGAAGGAAACTGATATTAGATAATAGGTATACTCAATTTGGGGTAATTAGGTATCAATTACTTAGCCTAAGAGATTTTGGGTCGAGACAATTACACCCTGAGAGGTAGCATGGCAGAGAATCTAAAAGAGTGTGAAACGCTAACCCATGTTAAAAACTAAATTATACAGGTGTCATCTTACAAATGGACATTATATTAATTACATTAGTTTGAACTTAATCATTTCTTCTCTTACTCTTTCTCCTCCACTTGTTTCCTTCTTTTCAGATCTCTCCATCTTTGTCTTCATTTCCTCACATCTTGCCATCTCACATTTGCTCAAATTATGTCAACTTTTCCAGTCTCATTGAAAGAACAATCAACAATAGCTTCCTTGTCTATGAATCTCTATTCTGCAGAACAACTAAAGAAAACTATTTCCAAGCTTCCAGAGTAACAGAAAAGAGGAGTCCGGAGTTTGAAGGTGATTTCTCGGTCTTTGCTCTGAAAGAGTCCATGAGAGTTTTGTTGGTGCGTCTCTAGTGAGCTTTTCTTAGGGAGGAAAATTTTGTTGCTGGGTTAGGATGACTGTAGTACGACTTTCATGGTTGACGATGTATATGGGTGGAACTGTACTAGAATTCTTGGTGAAAGAATTTTCTTCTTAGCAATAGTTGAGATAGGATGGAACTTAAGTTTCATCAGATAAAAATGCTCCTGGTCACATTTTACGAGGCATAGATAGCTATAGACTTTAGTTTAGACTTACCGGTCCACTTCAGCCTAGAGTTGACCACTTATATTATTCCAGAAGAAAGAAAAGGTATAAAGCTCATTTTATTAAGACAAGGCCACAATTACATGAGTGGTATTCAAAAGGGCCGGACCAATATCTCTATCAGTAAACCTCCACTTTATCCACAAAAATGAAGGGCCCAGCTGGAACTTTTTCTACGGATCCATCAACGGCGACTTGCGTACCTCTTATCAAAACGGATCACAATGGTTCTATGGTGGATAGCGACGATGCAGATGATGAAGCAGAGTACATGCAATTCCTGTCACTTTTAACTCTCCCTTCTTAGTACCTACAATCTTACTTTCCCAATTTCAGGGTTCTGATTTTTCCCCTTCATTTGGCAGTGATACTTTGCGTTTAACCTGGGATTGTTATAATCACGATATACACCAGGCAATTCATACTCCAGCCGTAATTAAGACATCGTGTTGGACTAAAATTGCCTAGTCTAAAGCATGTAAGGCTTTTGGGGTGAATTCTTCAGGTTTCGAACATGAAATCCTCGATATGATTCTGCGTATGGAGCAGAAAAGGCAATCTTAAAAGCAACAGCAAAAGGGGAGAAGTAGCGAGGCTAAGAAATCGAAAAAAGGGAGAAACAGAGGCAAAGAAATTTGGTTTGCACTATTACATATGACAGAAGTGAAGGATCCAGCAGTGACGGACAACTCAAAGCCTTCTCTGAATGAAAGCGAAGATCACTAGATGGAATGTAAGGGGGCTCAATGATTTGAGCAAGAGGACCACCATCAATTCTCTTATCCATAAGTGGAAGCCTCACATTCTATGTTTGCAGGAAACTAAGATCGAAGGATGTTCTGTGGAAATAGCTAGACAGTTATGGGGTTCAAGATTGGTTGAATGGGTTGAACTGAAAGCCAGTGGCAATAGGGGGGGGGGATTATATTATGGGATAAAAGACAATGGAGTTGTATTGATGCACATCAGGGGCAACACACTATGTCGGCTATGATGGAAGGTGTTCAAACTGATTTCAGATTCTGCTTTACTTGTGTCTATGGGCCACACACTAACTGGGAAAGAGATGATTTCTGGAATGAATTTGCCAGTGTAAGGGGGGCTTTGGAATGAAAGTTGGGTCATCGGA